GCAGCAGCAGCAGCAACAGCAGCAGGGTTTAGCGTCTAGAGTATGTAGTTTAGGATTTGTGTTTCATGCTTTATGGTTTAGGGTTTAGGGTTTAGGGTTTATAGTCTAGGGTTTAGGGTTTGTGGTTGTTTGACCGTGTAGGGTGTATTATGTATTGTTTATGGTCTAGGGTTTAGGGTTTAGGGTTTAGGGTTTGTGTTTGAGCGTGTAGAGTGTATTGTGTAGGGTTTGTGGTTTAGGGTTTGTGGTTTAGGGTTTAGGGTTTAGGGTTTAGGGTTTGTGGTGTATGTGTAGGATTACTTATACAGCCGGTTGGTGTATATAGAGGAGCTGCAGGCTGCGCTGCCTTTTTTTTTTTCTGTTGAGTGGGTGCGTCGGGGTTTATATTTATTAATAGGAGCAGCAACATCTTCTTTGTCTCCTTTGTCTTGGTTGCTGCTGCTGCGGCCTGCTCCTGCTGCTGCTCCTGCTGCTGCTGCTGCTGCTGCTGCTGCTGCTGGTGGTGGTGGTGGTGCTGCTGCTGCTGCTGCAGCACAAGCAGCAGACTTTGCTTCGCTGCTGCAGCGGTATACACAGCAGCACCCCAAGCCAGTGCCCCTGAAGGCTTCACCTGCTGTGCTGCATGCGTTGAGGAAGCTGCAGCAGCAGCAGCAGCAGCACCAGCAGCAGCAGCAGCAGCAGAGGGTGCAGCAGCAGCAAATACAAGAACTGCAGCAACCATGGAGAAGCGCATGCACAGACAGCCGGATGGGTATTCGATGGTTTTCTTATACAACAATACAGAAGCAAAACAAGAAGAAGCAGCAGCAGCAGCAGCAACAACAGCAGCAGCAGCAGCAGCAAAAAGCAGCAGCAGCAGCAGCAGCAGGAAAATTCCTCGAATTCGGGTGTACAGACACACAGCAGCAAGAGTGGCTGCTGCAGCAGACAGCGCAGCATATCCTAACAACTGTAAGCAGCGAGAAGACAGCCAATGCTTTATCTCGCCTTCTTGCTGCTGCTGCACCTGGCAGCAGCAGCAGCAGCAGCAGCAGCAGCAAACCTGCTGCTGCTGCTGCTGGAGACAGTCTACCCCTCGATCTCCTCGCGCTGCAGTTCTGTGCTGAGGCTTTCTACCAAATCTTTGTCTCTGCTGATATATTCAAAGAAATACATAAACATATATAGCTGCTGCTGCTGCTGCTGCAGCAGCAGCAGCAGCAGCAACAGCAGCAGCAACAGCAGCAGCAACAACAGCAGCAATGGCACCTGCAGCTGAGGCTTTCTACCAAATATTCGTCTCTGCTGATATATTCAAAGAAGTACATAAACATATGTAAATGCTGCTGCTGCAGCTGCTGCTGCTGCAGTTGCTGCTGCTGCAGCAACAGCAGCAAAAGCAGCAGCAGCTGCTGCAGAAACAGCAGCAGCAAATGCTGCAGCAGCAGCAGAAACAGCAGCAGCAGCAAGTGCTGCAGCAAAAAAAAGAAAGATAGAAGCAACACGCAGTAGCAAACACCTGCTGCAGCAGCTCTTAGGAAGCAGCAGCTGTCTCCTTTTGTTTGTCTCCAGCAGCAACAGCTGTCTCCTTTTGTCTTCAGCAGCAGCAGCAGCAGCATCAGCAGCAGCAGCTGCTGCTGCTGCTGCTGCTGCTCTTGTCAATGTCTCTAAACTGCAGCAACAGCTGCCAGCTTGACTGTCTTTTGCGTTTTTGTTATCGCATTCTTTTGTCTTTTGTTGCTGCTGCTGCTGCTGCTTCTGCTGCTGCTGCTTCTGCTGCTGCTGCTTCTGCTGCTGCTGCTGCATTTGTTTGCTGCAGCAGCGGCAACACCTCTGCTGCCTGTGCATAGCAGCAGCAG